TGAACGAGACTGAGAGGGGGAGAGGGGCTCAGTCACGGTGGTTGAATGGGGGGATCCCGTGGGGCTCAGCCAATATGGTGAAAATAGGGGGGAAACCGAGGGACCACCTCCAAAATGGAGGAAAAGAGAGAGGGGGCTAGCTTGAGGGGGGAATGCACCAAACGCCTTATGGGCTTTTTGGAGCTTCCTCAGACCACGAAAGAGATGAACCTCTAATGACGCGTGAAATCCATCATCGGAAGCTCTCAAAAGGGGGTGCATTTATTGAACTTACAAAATCAGAACTAAAAACAGAACTTAACTACGAATACAAAATGGCGGGCGGGGCTATAGCGAACTAATGGGCGAGTGGAGGGCGACAATAAAGGGGGTGGGAGCCGGAAACCAGGCTCCCTTCCAAAAATTTAGCCTTGCACAAGGATGGAGGATGGACAATCCCGTGCCATTCCTAGCTTGGAATGTGCAGAGCACAGACCGGTGTCGGAGGCGGCGACCGGGGGGATGACTAAGGAGCCAATGCCATTCCTAGCTTGAAATGTGCAAGCACAGATCGGTGTCGGAGGCGGCGACTTGGCAAGGTGAAGGTGATGGAAGGAAGCAAGGTGGAGTCGAGTAGTGGCTTGGTCCGTCCGCGCTCATACGTCGCAAGAGCAGAGGCAAGCTGAACTAAACGAGGAGCTGTATTAGAGTCTCGGGGGCTGCTGGCTCCGGCCGCGGACCCCATCAAATGCAAAACACGAAAAACTGTGGAGGAACGCGAACCGAAAGACCAGACAGCGAAATCTATTGGTGAAGCATTGATACAAAATGTGCGAGAGAGAGCATGGAGGAGGGCAAATGTGCGGTGGGGCAAGGGGAGGCAAGTGAATCATAAGTACGGAGCGGGCCCGGCCCCGGGACCAGAGGGGCCATGGGGAGCGGGAGGGGGCACTAAATGGACCGTGAGTGCCGAAAAATGAGAGGGCGCAGAAACGGGGGGAAGAGGGGGGAAATCTCTCCTTAACATACCGCCCGCCTTGAAATGTCGGGACATTTCAACAGAAACTAAAACATCATAAATGGATGGCTTATCTAAAATCTAAGACTTATGCTAAAACTGTGAATGCCTACAAAAGGAAAAAAAAATTGGGGAAAAACTTTCAAAAAACAAGAGACTTATAGATAACTTAAGGGACTAATTGTGGGGAAATGACCGCCCGCCGTGAGGTGACGGTCGTCTCCAAAAATTCTTAAAAAACTAAACACACTTAGGAGAAAAAATATTTGAAAAGAAAACTTAAAGGAAGTTGGCAACATGGCAACTATCACGAGATAGATATTATGATTATGAAGTAACTGAGTTCAGGATCCGAATGATGTCACGCGGGTACAATCTTTCTCTTTTTGTTGGGTGATCCTTAAGAAAGAATGGCTTTGGATGAGCTTTGTCCTGGTACTTGTTGAGGTAAGCGCGCATGCGCTGCAGAACGTTGGGGCGAAGAGTGGTCACCGAACGCGCGAGGGAGGATGAGGGCGGAGGGTACAGGGTCCTGCAGGCCAGTCTGATCTTGGATGGTGTGAGTGCTTTAGAGGAAGCGCGTTCTGCGAAAAGCTGATTTTTCAAGGTGATGCGGAGATGTAGTCCCCTAAGTTGTTTTGGTGAAAGTCGGATTTCCGCCTTGCGTGAAACAGCTTCCGCGAAGACACACGTGTAAACGCCGCAATCTGTGTAGTTTTTTGGAGGTTGTTTAGGGGAGGCTGCCATCCAGGCGGGCCATGACGTCATATCTTCTTTTGGAAAAAGCTGCTGGAGGATACTTCGGAGATCAGAAATGCCTTTCACGCAGTCGTCAAAATAACTGTCGAACCAAATGATGGCTCGGGATCTGAGGTCTGCAACTGCCAAGCTCCAGTGTTGCCGTTCGATGCTGTGATGAGGAATTAAAAGGAGGTCGATCGCGCTTAAATCGGTGTTTTTCAGCCGGTCGGTGATGGCTTTGAATCCAAAGTTCTTGAAGGCTATCCAAACGAAGGTGTCGAAAGTTTTGATGCAGGATTTTTCTCCATGATCAGCTCTTTTCTGCAGGAGGTCGAAATAAGCGTTGATCACTTCACCGGTGAGGCGTTGTCCAAGTAGGAGCCGAGAAATTGAGTCGGGCGAAAGATCCATGCTGGCGAGAGCGATAGAAATATAACAACGTGACGAAAAACAGTGCGAAAAGAGACTGACTGAAGAGACAGGACCGAAACTGCCAGGAGCCAGAGTTTGGCGAACGATTTTGAGAGAACCCCCAAAATTTTGGGGAGGGGATCCGAGCTGAGTAGCGAGGATGTTTGAACGGCTAATAGACAAAACAGGAAACTCAGTAATTGTAGGAGAGCGCCATCGTGAGAAAAATGACATAACACGGTAGCGGGCTTCAGCTTCTTTAGAAATGGTGCGTAAGTTGCGATGTTGCCAATAGTGCACTCTTAATCGAGCGTTTCTTCATCAGAGATGGGCAGAGGGTAAAGCTTCACTACAGGGCGCTTATACTCCCCAGTGGCGGTGCGGACAGTTGCGACCCTTACATGGCCGTCTTTCCCTGGAAAGGTCTCCGTGACCCGACCAAGCTGCCACTGGTAGGGCGGGAGTTGTGGATCGTGCAAAAGCACTAAATCGTCAATTTGGAGATTTTTCTCGACTTTGTTCCATTTTGCACGTGATTGTAAGGTGTGGAGGTATTCTAAGCTCCAGCGCCTCCATAACGATTGAGCCATGGCCTGCACGCGGTGCCATCGCTTCAAAGAGGTCAAAGGCTTTTCTCCGTGAATTCGCTCAACAGGAGTGGCGATGGAACTTCCAATAATGAAATGGGCTGGCGTGAGTGGAGTGAGGTCCGAAGGGTCACTTGATAAAGGCGTCAAAGGCCTTGAGTTAAGCATAGCCTCAATGCGACAGATTAATGTGTCCAGTTCGGTGAAGGTCAGAAGTTGTCCATGGATGACTCTTGCGAGGTGAGCCTTTGCACTTTTTACTGCTGCCTCCCAGAGACCGCCCATGTGAGGAGCGGCTGGAGCATTGAAGTGAAAGCGAATGTGGAAATTTTGAGCCATTTTTGTGAGTTCTGGACTGTCCTTAAGTTCGGCAACAAGAGCCTTTTGAGCTTGCTTGAGTTCTCGGGAGGCGCCGGTAAATTGGGTTCCGCAATCAGAATAAAGGTCGGAGGGTGCGCCTCGACGTGGTGAAAATCGCGTGAGGGCGGCAATGAAGGTGTCAGCAGTGAGATCCTGGGCCAGCTCCAAGTGTACTGCCTTAGTAGACATGCATATGAAGACGCAAAGGTAGGTCTTGACCTCACGCGCAAATCTTAAAGTAGAGGCCTTTACTTTAAAAGGGCCAGCGTAATCAACGCCAGTCGATTCAAAAACACGCGAGGGTGTCACTCTGGAGTCTGGTAAATCACCCATGAGAGCCAGTCTATTTGTGGGATTTATGCGGAAACATGGCAAACAAGCCTGGAGCACGGATTTTATTGCCGCGCGACCGGCCAAAATCCAGTAGCGTTGGAATAGGAGGGACTGCAGGAGCTGGGGCCCCGCGTGGAGGAATGTAACATGAAAATATTTGATTAGTGACTTCGTCAGTGCGTGACTTTTCGGTAAAATCAACGGGTGTTTACGATCAGCGGAAATTGGGGCGTGTGACAGACGTCCTCCAACTCTGATGAGTCCGTCCGGGTCCAAAAAAGGATTTAGACGGCGGAGTCTAGTTGAGCTCTCTTTATTGGCTTTCAAACGTTTGATATCGTCTTTAAATGAGTCAATTTGGGCCTTTCGCACGGTGACCCTTTCAGCGGCTTTGAATTCTGCTGGAATAAGGGGGCCTGTGCGACGGTCCTTTGGGTTGAGTGCATTGTGCTTGAATCGAAAGACGTAAGCCAAAATTCGCTGTAACTTATCCCAATCCGAAATCCGGGAAAATATGTCAACAGCGCATGTTTCGGTGACGAGAACCCAGCGTGTCTCGCGGAGTTCTGACCTATAAACTTCACTTTCGTCTGAGAGAGTTACCTTGGAGGGACTAGGCCAACTTGAATGGGGTGAACGCAACCAAGGGGGACCTTTCCACCAAAGGTCGTTTTCCAATAATTTTGAAGCCAAAACACCGCGGGAACCTAAATCAGCCGGATTTTCTGAGCTTTTGACGTAGCCCCATCGGGCTTCAGGAAAATTTTCTTGAATAGAGGCCACGCGATTGGCGGTGAAAGTCTTCAATTTATAGGAGGGCGTTTGTATCCACTGCAAAGTTGTGGTTGAGTCAGACCAGTTATAAATGTCTTCCAAAGTGTAGCTTTGGCGAAGGTGTGGGACCACGTAGGTCAGCAAAGTTGAGAGCAGCGTCGCTGCCTGAAGCTCAAGTCTAGGTGTGTTGATCCGTTTTAGAGGGGCAACTTTGGACTTTGCTATGATTAGTGAAGTGTCTGTTTTTCCATCAGGAGTGTGGAAGCGAAAATAAATGACACAGCAATAGCAAAAATCGCTTGCATCGGAGAATCCGTGTAGTTCTATCTGAGAGCCTGGTGGACAAAGTTGTCTTGGCATTCTAATGAGCTTAAGAGCAGGGAGGTCCTTCAAAAAGCTTCCCCATTTTTCTTGAAGAAAAGGGGGTAAAGGATCGTCCCATTCGGACTTTAAGAGCCGTAATTGCTGCATAAAGACCTTCATGAGGAAAATTGTGGGAGTGACCCAGCCACATGGGTCAAATATGGTTGCTATTGTAGAGATGACGCCGCGTTTAGTCACGGGGCGACCGAGATCTTGAATATAATAGGTGAATGCGTCATCAGAGGGCACCCATTGCAGCCCTAAAATAGACAAAGAAGTGACTTGATGATCCTTCCAATGAATGGGTGTTTCTAAGTGATCGGCAGAAAAGTCTTGTAGGAGAGCTTCCGATGATGGATTTCACGCGTCATTAGAGGTTCATCTCTTTCGTGGTCTGAGGAAGCTCCAAAAAGCCCATAAGGCGTTTGGTGCATCCCCCCCTCAAGTTAGCCCCCTCTCTCTTTTCCTCCATTTTGGAGGTGGTCCCTCGGTTTCCCCCCTATTTTCACCATATTGGCTGAGCCCCACGGGATCCCCCCATTCAACCACCGTGACTGAGCCCCTCTCCCCCTCTCAGTCTCGTTCAACTTGTGGGCGCAACGGGTGGTGAGAATGGTGCTTTGAGACGCAGAGTCCAGGATTGCACGAATGTACATGAAGCCTTTGGGAGATGTCAGCAAAACCTTAACTGTGGCTAGTAGGACTTCCGACTTTTCTGGTTGAGAAGTGCCTAAGAGGGTTTTGGGTGGCGAAATGCAGGGTTGCGAATCTGAAGAAGATGGCGACGCGGGTTTGTCTTGATGCAAAAGAGTGTTGTGAGTTTTGTCGCGGCACACGCTACAAACTCTCGTGGACATGCATTCTGAGAGAAAATGTCTTCCGAAACAGGCATAACATCGCCCGAGCTCTGAAATAACGGCCTTGCGATCCTTTACGTCAAATTCTGGACAGTTAGCCAGGTAATGAGCCTCAGAACAAAGAGCGCACGGATATGGGGCTTTACTTGCGATAAGGGCCTTGCTTTTAGCATCAAATTTTCCTTTCATCGGATATTTTGATTGATTTTGAGAGGAATCTGCTTGAGAAGAATCCTTTGAATTGTCCTTTGATAAATTCATTAACAACGGGTCATCAGAGGCTATGCATTCCTTTTCGAGGAATCGAACTAATTCTTCAACTTTGGGAAAAGATGATGTATCACCACGGTGCTCTTCGAGGCGCCGGCGGTAGTGAGGCGCGATTTTTTGAAACAGGACAGTGATCAATAGGGGGTCGTATAATGATAGCGGGTGCTTGAGAGCATCAAGCGCCTGCGTGTGTTCCCTCAATTTTGAGAGGAACGGAGAGATGTGGTATGGCTTCGTGACCTCGGGAAGGCCAAGAAGGCTGCTGTAGTGGTGAAAAACGTGGCGGCGCTCTGAATTGAAGCGCTGGCAAAGTATGTCCCAAGCGACGGAATAATTGCCTTCAGTGACATCAAGACCGCGGACAAGGTCAAGGGCTTCGCCGTTCAGTGAGCTGATCAAGTATTGAAACTTCTCTACCGTGTTTAAAACCGGGGAGTCATGGATGCTGACTCGGAAAAGGTTGTAAAACGTCCGCCACTCATTTATGAGTCCCGAGAAGCGCGGGATCTCGAGGCGCGGCAGGCGCACGGCCGAAGCGGGTGTCAAGACGGAAGGGGTGGGAGAGGGGGACACCGGAGGGTCTCGTGTTTTATCGTTCTGCGGGAGATGCTCGTGAAAGAGGGATTTCGCCTCCAGAATGATGTCATCGAAGGTCGCTTGATTTTTCTGAACTTCGATTTGCTGTCTTTTCGGGAGCGTAGTGTTTAAAGACATAATTTCTTCAAGGATACAATCATGTTTCACTTGAAGCTCTGAAAGTCGATCGTAGGCTGGTCTGAATTTTTCAACGTTTTCAGACGTGAGATTTTCTTTGAAAGATGAGTTGATGGCGAGGGCTCGTGCATGCGTGTTGGCACTCTTGGCGACGAGGAGCTCGGCGAGATTTACAGACGCGGGTGGGTCTTCTTTGGAGGCCATCTTGATTGGCCGCTAGGTGGAAAACTGGTGCGTGAGAGATGAAAGTGTGCGAAAAGCTTCGTGCGTTTCACAACACAGTGAGAAAATAAAGAGTGATCCCCGTTTGGATCGTACCTTGGTGAAATAAAAGTGTGTGAAACGCTTCGTGCGAATCACAACACAATGAGAAAATAGAGAGTGATCCCCGTTTGGATCGTACCTTGGTGAGAAAATAGAGAGTGATCCCCGTTTGGATCGTACCTTGGTGAGATAAAAGTGTGTGAAACGCTTCTTGCGAATCACAACACAATGAGAAAATAGAGAGTGATCCCCGTTTGGATCGTACCTTGGTGAGAAAATAGAGAGTGATCCCCGAATGGATCGAGCCACTCACGGATATGGGTTGTCCGTGAGAGGAAAAAAATAGAGAGTGATCCCCGTTTGGATCGTACCTTGGTGAGAAAATAGAGAGTGATCCCCGTTTGGATCGTACCTTGGTGAGATAAAAGTGTGTGAAACGCTTCGTGCGAATCACAACACAGTGAGAAAATAGAGAGTGATCCCAGAATGGATCGAACCTTAGTGAGATGAGAGTGTGATCCCCATGAACATGAGGCGATAATTCACAAAAAAAGAAAAAGAGTGATCCCCGAATGGATCGAACATTAGTGAGAAAACCGTTCGCAAATTTTTACAAAAAAACTCGAGCGGACCTGGTGCCCTTACATAGGCATAGAGAACAAAATGGTGAGAAAGAACATAAATATTAAGTTAGCAAAAGTAAATCTAGTAACATATCAGAGGGGAGGCGAATCAGAGAAAAAAAGGCTTATTTGAGGCATGAGCAAATGGGTCTGCGAACCATGGACTGAATCTACAACTAGATCGGAGGAGCGACGATCTATCCGGCCCGAGGGACCATGAACGAGACTGAGAGGGGGAGAGGGGCTCAGTCACGGTGGTTGAATGGGGGGATCCCGTGGGGCTCAGCCAATATGGTGAAAATAGGGGGGAAACCGAGGGACCACCTCCAAAATGGAGGAAAAGAGAGAGGGGGCTAGCTTGAGGGGGGAATGCACCAAACGCCTTATGGGCTTTTTGGAGCTTCCTCAGACCACGAAAGAGATGAACCTCTAATGACGCGTGAAATCCATCATCGGAAGCTCTCAAAAGGGGGTGCATTTATTGAACTTACAAAATCAGAACTAAAAACAGAACTTAACTACGAATACAAAATGGCGGGCGGGGCTATAGCGAACTAATGGGCGAGTGGAGGGCGACAATAAAGGGGGTGGGAGCCGGAAACCAGGCTCCCTTCCAAAAATTTAGCCTTGCACAAGGATGGAGGATGGACAATCCCGTGCCATTCCTAGCTTGGAATGTGCAGAGCACAGACCGGTGTCGGAGGCGGCGACCGGGGGGATGACTAAGGAGCCAATGCCATTCCTAGCTTGAAATGTGCAAGCACAGATCGGTGTCGGAGGCGGCGACTTGGCAAGGTGAAGGTGATGGAAGGAAGCAAGGTGGAGTCGAGTAGTGGCTTGGTCCGTCCGCGCTCATACGTCGCAAGAGCAGAGGCAAGCTGAACTAAACGAGGAGCTGTATTAGAGTCTCGGGGGCTGCTGGCTCCGGCCGCGGACCCCATCAAATGCAAAACACGAAAAACTGTGGAGGAACGCGAACCGAAAGACCAGACAGCGAAATCTATTGGTGAAGCATTGATACAAAATGTGCGAGAGAGAGCATGGAGGAGGGCAAATGTGCGGTGGGGCAAGGGGAGGCAAGTGAATCATAAGTGCGGAGCGGGCCCGGCCCCGGGACCAGAGGGGCCATGGGGAGCGGGAGGGGGCACTAAATGGACCGTGAGTGCCGAAAAATGAGAGGGCGCAGAAACGGGGGGAAGAGGGGGGAAATCTCTCCTTAACAATACTTCAAATCAAAGTCTTTCGCATTGACCTCTGCCGAAGGTATGTATCTATACAATTTCATTAGTTTGCGAAAGTAAAATGTATTAAAGTATCTACACAAATAAATAAATCATAGATAAACAAAGAACATTGCATGGAGTAACATACTATAGAGGTACGATCGTGGACCGCTGCGGCGTTAGTTCACCGCACCCTCTGCCAGGTTCGCTGCGAGCGCGCGTTAACGGTTTTTAACACAGGGTAGCATAGGGAGTTGGGAGTCCTTATTTATTCTATTGGTCCATGACTTGACTTTGTTATGACCAAAGACATAAAGACGGAGCACTAAAAGCAAAAAATGAAGCTTCTAGAGCTTCTTTTCAATCACCTCTACTATTGGCTAGAGGATTGGCGGCGAAATCGGGACAAGTTTGAATTCAAATGTA